TTGTCTTGCCGATGGTCTTACCTGAACATACGATGCTTCAGGATAGGAATCATACGAATACGGGCTAGTCTGCTGATAGTTTGGATCTGTGTATTCAGGCCTTTGCGATCTCGTGCGCGTAGATGCTGAGTTCTCGGTGACCTCAACATCCTTTATCATGATGGGGTTTGACATGTTGCGATCGTCAAACATGATCCGCCTGCCGTGGAACACGCCCTCCTTCAGGCGATCTCGAATGTGTGTTAGCGAATGGCTTGACGTCGCCAGCCGATCGGGTACACCCACCACAGGCACCATAGAAATTGTGTTGGCCCAACACCCTAATCCAGCCAGACGTACTAGGTCCAAAGATTTGAACATGGTCGACCACACAACCTTCGCGGAGCCAATCCTTGAATTGCCTCCAATTTGTGTCGAAAGGCAACTGTATCGTCTGTCAGGGTATCGGCTCATTTGCGGTGTAGTCGGTGTCACGAACGTTTGCTATGGGTATGTAAAAGACTCCGGTTTCCTGACCGGGACGAGCCAAGTACGGTTGCATGTTGATGCGGGACGACGGAAACCAACTCCTGGCACGGGCTCTGTCCAACGTTAGACGCCAACGTCTTGACTTTGACTGGTGGCTGTGTGACGGTACGAAGAATCAACCACTGCCAGGATCTCGTGGGACACAAGATCCAGTGATGAACCACAAAGCCTTGGCCTTCCTCGAATCGATTCGGGCAAACAAAGGAAGGAGGTGATGGTTTGAGGTGGTGAGGAGAGAACAATGGAATTCGTCTTTTATATTGGGCTAGTTCTCTCCATCCTCCATTTTTTCCTCGTAGAAACCGCGGAGAACAACATGGCCAATGAAGAGAAATACTTGTCTTTAGTTCGATGAAAGGGAGATTTCTGCTAGTGCTGCCCCCGGGTTATCCCAGTCTGAACCGGTACTTGGCAGACAGACATTCCATCTTCGTTGGAAGTAGTCGTCCTGGCCTAGGTACCCGAACCCATGTGCTACGCTTTGGGGTTTCTTGTCTGTGCCAACCAACACATCCGCTGGTGAGTCGGCCGAATGGGTCGACCGGACATGGTATGGGGTCAGCAACGATCTGGTACCGATACCCGCAGTACATGCGGCGCCAAAGAACGTCGCAACGAAAAAGGTGTGATGCAGCTCATTTACTATTAGATCGTGCCATTGAGTTCTCCTCCCTTGTAGCATCGTAAAAATGACAGCCACCATGTGGGGTCCGGCTTGATGCAAGCTTGTTCTGGGCACAGTCACCCATCGCGCGCATAAGCTCTTTGGCTGTCGTTGGGTCGAGCAAGACGGCTGCTATCATTATCGAGTCATCCGAAAATATGTGCCGTGAACCTGGTCATTGGAGGCTGCGATGTAAGCTGCAGCCCGGCAGTAGACAGGATTCCTCCCTTAAGTTGCTTGGAAACCAAAGAAACGAGTGAACAGGGCTCCAATTTTTTCTCGATGATAGCCAGAAAGGCTTCCCTTTTCGACTAACTCGTCCCGATCCGGAGAGGGAGCTAGGGACACCATTGGGAACAATGACCAGGGACCAGCGGTTTATCAGATAGTCCATGAACAGCTGAAAGTGCTGATCAAAATTCGAATGCATTCTGAGCCTTTGCCCTTGATCATCTACAGCCAATGGCAAGTTCGAGTGATAGACTCGAGGGGAGCAGGCTCGGACTGAGAAAGTTCCATCATAGACCCCTGCAGTAAGTTGGTTCGATGCTGTGCCGCTGTACGTAGCCTGCAACTCCAACACATCGTAAAGTCTGGGCTTGCGGGTAGTCGATACAAATAAGCAAATAGGCGTCAGTTGAGAGAAGCCGCGAAGGACAACATCCACTAAGCGCGGTGCCGGTAAGTCACGTCAACCTGTCAGAATGATGAAAAATTCCCCAGAGGAGCGCCAGTAAATACCAGAGTTCGAGCGACGAGCAGACGAATTTTGCACAGTTTCGTGTAAAGCCCTGTCCTTGAAGCCATGTTGCGGCTGTCCGCAAGAGATGCGAACGCTTACCACTGACAGTCCTTCCTCGTGAGGGTAGTTTGCGTAAGGTGGCTGCGGCAGCAGCATGCTTAGAGCTTGGAACTGACCACAACTTTCTGCATCAAGTCGGTGCGGGTGCTGTATCCATCATCGCGCTCGGCTGCACCACCGCGCAGCCGCGGGTAGCTGGGAAACCAATAAGATCTGCGTGACACCCGCAGGTTTGGGGCTTGTCTTCGGATGGTTGGTCGGGGAAGCTTCTGGTGCAGCCGTCTTGAACCAAAGTGGTGGCGCTGCTATCGATCAAGTCCTTTTGAAGGAGAAGGTGTCGTCTACCTCGGACATGTCTAGACCGGACAGATCCTCGTCGAAATCGTCCAGTGCAGGTGCCTCCATCTGCGTCTCATCCTTGCCAGTGGTCATTGTCAAATCATTGCGCTGCGCGTCTTGCCATGGAGCTCCGGACTCCTCAGCTTCCGCAAGTGATGCCATGAGATGATGCTTGCTATCTCCCAGCAGGAGAACGGCAGAATCGCCAGTCCAGTCGAGCCACGATGCTTGGGGCTTGCCCAACACCTTGGCATCGGGTAGCTGCCCTCTGAAGTGAACCGTCTTCGGGCCGTCGGACAAGGGGTCCCAGACGAACACCAAACCTGCGTAGTTGTCTCCCTCGCACGTAACCATGAGCACTTCGCGCTGTTTTGGATGCCAGGAGAAAGCCAAAATTTGACTGTGGAAGATGAGAACGGCGCGCAGTTCAGATGACGCCAAATCCCAGACCCAAACAGTGCTTGGGCAGTCCTCCAAGGTGGTAGCTAAAAGACTGGATGATGCATCAAAGACGGAAAAAGTGCGGGCTAGCTTGGTGTCGACAATGCCGTTGCTCGCTCGGCCCGGAGCAGATACGGACTGGGTCGCGCGCGAAAAGGAGTGCTGTGAACCTGATTGGGTCGTGGCGATCTCCTCTTGCCAGATCTGGCATCCTCGTGTTAGTCTACGCCAAAATTATTGCACAAAGATAGGTTGTGTCACCCACCTGAACGGTATCCCTCGGAGTAATGGTTGCAGGATGTTCGAGTCTCATCGACTCGGCTGCGGACTTGGTTTCCAGAACGCATACACTGCGAGTGTGGTCGCACACTGCAATGCGAGCGCCGTCCGGGCTGACTTGACAGTGCTTTACCCCAGCGCCGAGTTCGTAATGCTTCTCCTCGATGGCCCAAGGTGAGGGTCCAGGCCACGTCTTGAAGAGGTGGCCGTCGGGCGTGTAAAATAGGATTTTGTGTCCTTGAGCCGCAGACTCCCACATAAGGAGCCAGCGGCCGTCCGGGGTCCAGGCCAGTCCTTGAGCATCGACAGTATCGGGCTGCCAAGAGCGAAGGACTTGTCGTGTCTTGGGATGGTGAACACTGGCGATATCTTTACCGGCGACGCGTGTGAGGATGGCCAAATGTCCTGAGCCGGGGCGAAGTGCAAAGCCACGAGAAGCTACACTAGCTTGGTGGAATTTTGGGTTGCTGATCTCGGTGGTTCTCGAAGTGGCCAGGTCGAAGATGGAGAACTTGAGGCCGTAGGATGAGCACATGAAGATCTCGGTGTCGGAAGCGCCAAACTGAACAAAGGTAGGCTTCAGATTAGGGGTTGCGGGGTTTCGTATGACGCCACGATAACCTGGACCCGAAGCTGAGTAGATCAGAACCTGGTCAGAGAAGCAGGCGAGAATGCGTCTTGACGAAGGTGACCAGCGCAAAGCATAGGCAGGACCGACATTGGACGGTAATTTGACGCTATGAATAGTCTCGAGGGTTTCGACAGACCGTACACTGACGCTGGTGGGCGACAAGGTTGCAATCAGGTTACCATCAGGACTTGACGCGCAATGCGGCGATGCTGTCGATGGTAAGCCTTGGGGAAGAGGATGGATGAGAAGACGCTGAGAGCCTTACATTTAAAGATCCTTGAAAAGTGCATGATGCATGGAGTTGAAGAGTTGTGTGTTGGGGGGCGCGAGAGTGATATCAAGCTCAGGTACGGTACTTTACTTTGATCAGGTACTTATGATGCGTATTCGTAAGATACCTGCCAAAAGGCGAGCCTGACTTGTTTCGGAAAGTGAGACAAAGTAAGTGAGGTCTACTCCGTACCGAGTATTACTTGGGGAAGTAGCAAGGGACGGGTGTTTTTGCCGAAACGAAACGAAGCAGGGTTTCTTTTTGGTCTTTTGGGTGAGGATGAATTGGGCAAGCGTTCCTGAGTCTCGGCAGCGGTGGAGTCTTGAAGAAAAGCCGTTGTTGCAATGGAAGGAAACAAGGTGCTCGTCTGCATCTTTGTTGTTTACATTGATTCCTGTTTTGGACTAGCGCGGGGCAGCAACACAAGATACCTTACCGGGAGGGCTTAGTCAGGTCGCGCTTTCTACACAGTACACAATGGTCCAGTGTCCGGGCTCTCTCCGGCTCCATGGAAGTTGCCGGCCGGACGACGATGGGAAAGAACGCCGGGAACCAATCACCACTGCCCTATTTCGCCAGCACCTCAGACGCCGCCGAACCCCGCCAGAGTCCAGACATCCTTCGCCCAACTCCGTCGGCCCCGGTGACCTGTGCTTGTGCTTGTGCATACGCCCTTCAGCGGCACTAAGCGGCTCTTTTCCCCCTCACTTAGTCTCACTTTAGGTGCAGAGTAGTCGCTGTAGTGTTGTCTGTCGTCTATCGACGGGCTTACCTCACTCACAAATAGGTAATCGCCACGCTTCTGCTGACTCACAGTGTCACATATCTCATCGCCGTGATAGCAATTTCACTCCTCACTCTCGTTCGAATCTAGTTTTCATCCATTTCATGGCCTCTACTTTCATCTCATCAACAATCATCATCACATGTCACTGTCTGTGTCAGCCATGGGAATGAGCAGCGTGTGATTATTCCTCTTTTCTCTTTTCTCGGAGCTCGTCTCACTCATCGTCTTTCACATTTCCTCACACTGAGATAGAGCGACATGAGACACAGCATATCATGGCCTCGCACTGCCTTGCGCAGCAGCGGCCAGCTATCACAGCGATGCAGACCATCACAGTCGGCATGCATACCTCACACGCACACGCAAAGGAGGTGTCTGAATGCGGCTGCCGCTGCAGCCCAAGTCACACCGAGCTCCCAACACCAACCACTCACCACCCGCCGGCGTCTCATCAAGGATGCGAAGCCCTTCTCCGACTTCCTCACCGATACCTTCCACCGCCAGCATGACTACCTCCGCATTTCCGTCACGGAACGCTGTAATCTTCGCTGCCTTTACTGCATGCCCGAAGAAGGCGTGCCGCTCTCCCCGACAAAGGAACTTCTCACCACCCCGGAAATCGTCCTGCTCTCCTCCGTCTTCGTCTCCCAGGGGGTGACCAAGATCCGCCTGACGGGCGGCGAGCCCACGGTGCGCCGCGACATCGTCCCGCTCATGCACCAGATCGGCGCCCTCCGGCCCCACGGCCTCCGCGAGCTGTGCCTGACCACAAACGGCCTCTCCCTCCACCGCAAGCTCGACAGCATGGTCGAGGCAGGGCTCACCGGCGTCAACCTGAGCCTCGACACTCTGGACCCGCACATGTTCCAGATCATGACCCGGCGCAACGGCTTCGACGCCGTGAAGAAGAGCATCGACCGCATCTTTGCCCTCAACAAGGCCGGCGCGGGCATCAAGTTCAAAATCAACTGCGTCGTCATGCGCGGCCGCAATGACGCCGAGATCGGGCCCTTTGTCGAGATGACGCGCGACAAGGACGTCGAGGTCCGCTTCATCGAGTACATGCCCTTTGACGGCAACAAGTGGAACAAGGGCAAGATGCTGGGCTACGCCGAGATGCTCGACGTCATCCGCGAGACGTATCCCACCTTGGCCAAGGTCGAGGACCACAAGAACGACACGAGCAAGACGTGGCACGTCCCCGGGTTCGCGGGCAGGATCGGCTTCATCACGAGCATGACGCACAACTTTTGCGGGACGTGCAACCGGCTGCGCATCACGAGTGACGGGAATCTCAAGGTGTGCTTGTTTGGCAACACCGAGGTCTCGCTGCGGGATATCCTGCGAAAGTCCAACGGCGGCGAGCCCATTGACGAGGCGGCGCTCGAGGCGATGAAGCAGATTGAGATGGACCGCCGGCAAGGGCTGGCAGACGCTGGGAAGCCGCTGGGCGCAGCGCTCAACGAGGCGGAGCTCTTGGACGTCATTGGTATGGCTGTCAAGCGGAAGAAGGAGAAGCATGCGGGTATTGGTGAGCTGGAGCACATGAAGAACAGGCCGATGATCTTGATAGGTGGGTAACCGCGGCCTTTTTTCTCTCCTACACTCTTGGTCCATTGGTTTTGAGGGAAGGATTTGCCTGCTTGATTTGTTTGCATTGGGACGGCGTTGGATACCAAGGGGATGATCGCGTGGCATGAATGCCCAAAGGGGATCCTATACGGAACGTATATATAAGTATGCATGTGCACACGAATGGAAGGCTGAATCAATAGTCTATCTAGATTCTCAACCGCTTCAACCTTCTCGTCTGTCGTCTCACACCAGGGTCTTCAAGCCAATGTCCATGAGCACGCCCATCAGCCTCACCCAGGCACCTTCACGCCGTCCTCTCGCCGTGCCAGGGGTACCCATCCACCTCCTATCCGCAACACCACATCACCACGCTCAACTCAGGCCCTTCTCCGCAACCACCCGCCGCCGCAACGATGACTCCGACAAGAAGAGCAAGGACACCAACGACAAATACAATGACACACAAACCCCCAAACCATCCCTAACGCACATCTCCCCCACAGGCTCAGCCCACATGGTCTCCATCGCCGCCAAACTCCCCACAGCACGCATCGCAAAAGCAGCCTGCACAATAACCTTCTCCTCCCCATCCGCCATAAACCTCATCCGCGCCTCCCAGATGAAAAAGGGCGACGTCCTCGGCACGGCGCGAATCGCGGGCATCATGGCCGCCAAGCGCACGCCCGACATCATCCCGCTGTGCCACCCGATCCTGCTCTCTCACATCGGCGTCGAGGTCGAGCCGGCCAGCGACGCTGAAGACGAGACGGTGATTTGCGTCGAGGCGACAGTCGAGTGTGAGGGCAAGACGGGGGTCGAGATGGAGGCTTTGACTGCTGCTGGGGCGGCGGCGATGACGGTGTATGATATGTGTAAGGCTGTGGATAAGGGGATGGTTATTGGGGGGTTGAGGGTTGTTTTGAAGGATGGGGGGAAGAGTGGGCGGTGGGAGATGCCTTAATATTTGTTTGTTCGTGAAATATCTTCTTATAGTTCGTCATGGCCACAAAGAGGATAATCGAAGGTGACAGATCGGAAAGTCAATAACTCATCTGATGGACATGGGAGACGGTGCTTGGAGTGACCGGTTACATCCTGGAGTAGACCAGATCCCAATCTGAATAATACTCCTGGACCTTTAGATAGGAAAACTAGAATATCAAGGTGCAGCCTCAAGTCAATTGCGAACAGATACTACAGATGGCATCCAGAAAGTGAGTTGAAGAAGGAAAAGAATCACCCCTGATAATTTGATAACGCATCCCGAACCTAACTACCTTACTCCACATCTAAAGTACCATGATAGGAAACAGACCTCACACACCCAGACCAATTTGCATCTAATCACCTCAAAATATCCTCCTCATTGACAAGTACAAGGTCGTGCGCAGTAACAGCAATACCACAGCCCAAAAGACCCATGGCGATCACGGTGGGATGACTGACAAGATAGAAGTACCTAACAAACGAGCCAATGGCACACACTCCCCCTTTCCCCATCCATCAAAGAACACCCCATTTAAGAAGCGACAAGATTCAAGACCCGGATTTCATGAAAGACCATTCACTACCACGCGCCTCGCTTTCAAAAAGTATTCATTGTGCAATATGGCCCGGATCAGCACGCGCTCTACGAAGTAGTTGGTAATAGTAATCACCTTACAAGCTCTCTGTGTGCTGGTTTTCAACCTGTCGCTTTGTCTAGTCCGAGTGAGTGAATGGCTTCACCGGATTGTGTCGTGCTCCTGCTAAGGAGCAGTATAGCCCAGCTTCAGTAAATGTTGTAAGTCAGATATGGGTCATGTACCTTTCAGTCATCCGAGACCAAGATTTTGGACTTCAAATTAGCGTGCCTTGTCACCTTGGATATCTTGTAATAGCTATATTTGTATCTACGTAGGCAAGCGGTTATATCAAGAGATACACAGTACATCGGCCGAGAAGGTGTGCAGATGAGCCGGCCAAGGGCTCTTGGTTTCTTAATAAAGTAAATATTTATCAAGGTCCAGTCTGTGGATGATAGGACAGCAAGCTTAGATCGATATAGAGCCAATGCATTTCAACGCCCTTACTTAGATCTTGTTCCGTGTGAGTGACTGTTCACTAGCCCATTTCAACGCCAGGATATTGGAATGCTGTAAACCATGACACCAAAATGCGACAATCTGTTATGGGAGTTGGGTATAGCTACAATAAAATGTACTCCGCCAATCTCTCTCTCTCTCTCTCTGTCTCCTTCATCTTTTATACAATCTCACTTGAGTCCCCCACTTACTCTCTCGTTAAAAATCCTCTCCATCCCCAGAAACTATAGTACTCCCCCCACTCTACGAAAACTCAACCTTAATCTCCTTCCCGACATTCATCGCAATCCAATCCGCAATCGCCATATTTGTAATCATGGGATTCACCCCGCTGGCGCTAGGGAAAACACTCGCGTCCGCGACAAACAGATTCTCCGTGCCCCAAACATGACCCTTGGGTCCCACCACGCCCTCGTCCTCATTAGGCGCCATACGACACGTACCCATCTGGTGCGCAGACGAAAAGATGGCCACGGGCGGCGCGTTGCCCACTCTACGCAACTTATCCAGCCACGCGACGAACTTGGGATCGTTGACGCCGTCGAGGATCGCCTCGTCGCCGCTGTCCGAAGCCGAAGACGACGCGGCTGCCGTCTCCTTCTCCTTTGAGGGAGGCTCGGCGTGGTCCTCCTTGACAAAGGGTTCGAGACCGGGCAGACCGGCGTGGATCTCCGTCGCGCCCTCAACGTAGCAGATTTTGCAGAGGGCGACGACGCCCTCGAGGGTGTTCGCGCGGTCAAAGTCGGAGACGACGTAGTCGATGCGGGGGCGGCCGGAGATGGGGTCCGGGTACACGCGGCCGGGGTCGCGGTCGCGGGTGAGGGAGATGAAGGCACCAAAGTGGCGGAAGCGGAGCTCGCTGAGCTTGGCTTGGAGGCCAGAGTGCCAGGGCATGCTGGACAGGATTGCGTAAGGCTGTGAATGTGTTAGTGAATAAAGAATAAATTGGCTTACAAAATTTAGATTTGGGACGTACGATCATGCAAGTAGGCTCCAGCTTCACACCGTGACCGGCCTTGTCGAGGTCCTCGAATGAGGAGCAGTAACTCGTGATGATACCGCCTGTGTTTACTTCACGTCAGCAACCAGAACATATGGATTTGCGATGTATTTTGAGTGACTCACCCTCCCATGGCTTGCAGTCCTCCTTCCAGTAGCCTCCTACAAAATTGCAGGGATGGACATAGAGATTACGACCGAGGTGTCGGTTCTAAATGTATCCAACGTTAGCAGCGTAATCGTGTGAGAGCGCAGTAGAGGGACGACATCATCTACTTACCGTCAAACCGCTTCTCAACAGCACCAAGGGGCTCGAAACTGATCCAGCCGACATGATGACCTTCTTGGCCTTGATAACAACCTGTCGTGTGGTCCGCTGCTCCAAAGCCGCGCTGGTGCTGCCGTTGTCTCCCCTCGAAACCCACTTTCCAACTACGCCCGTCGCTCGCTTGGACCCGCTGGTCTCGTCAAAGGTGACCTTCTCAACCTCGAAGCCCTCGATAAACTTGGCTCCAGATCCCGCCGCTGCCGGCAGCCAGCTCACGGTTGGCCCCTGCTTTTCAGTCGACCCACAGCCGAGGTGGCACTGCCCGCAGTAGTGCTCCATCCCGCCGGTGTTCTGTGGGGCCGTGGCGGCGTGCCATCCGAGCTTCCGGGACCCGTCCAGCAGCACCTGGTTGCGGTGGTTGTGGCGGACCTTGTCGGTACTGACGCCCATGAAATCGCAGACCTTGTCAAGGCAGTTTTGGAACTGGGGCGAGGTGAAGAATGGCAGGCCGCGCTGCTCAGACCACTCCTTGCGGACGAACCCTTGGGTCTGGAGACTGACGCTCCAGTTGACGGTGCCACCGCCGCCCCAGCAGCTGCCGGCGACCATGTTGAGCGAGTTGTCATCGCTGGTGATGAAGCCTCCGTTCTCGTACAGGAACGAGCAGCCGGCATCCTGGGACATGGGCAGCTGGCTCGGGGCGTAGTAGTACGACTTGTCGACAACGAGGACCTTGTGACCGGCCTCGGCCAGGACCTTGGCAGCGACTGCTCCTCCGCAGCCCGACCCGACGATGACGACGTCGGTCTCTACGACGGCTGGCTCGCCAGCCGACTCGAATTGCATAAAGTTGAAGTCAAAGCCCTCGCCGTGCGTCTGGAAGTCCGGCATGTCGGTATAGTCCGTCAACTCTATGAATAAAGGATTGGTCTGCACGGCGGCCTTTTGCGCCAGGAGACATATTGACTTTGATAGAACCCTGATTGTGGGGAGCCTGGACGTCTGCCAAGCCTTCAAAATTTGCTCACGAACTTCTATGGGTTGAAGGTGAACTGGGGTCCAGTACCCAGTGAGAAACAACGTGCCGGCGCGCGTGCTGTCAGTTTGGTCAGTTTTGGTTCACGGTGAAGATCAAAAGTGAAGCGTCGTGGTGGCGTTCATGGCCCATCACTTACCCAAGAGCGCCCATTGCGCCACCGAGTTGACGTTGCGCGCCGGAAGGCAGGGCCGCCAGTGTCCTGGTGATGCTCTCGATGAATTTGGGTTCCTTTGCGGGATTGTGCGCCATGTACTCCTGGAACTTTTCCTCGGAAGGCGGTTTCTTCATTGTGTTCTGGGCGAGTTGGAGCGCAGCCGCATATTCTGCATCGGACACTCGGATCTGGCTTGCCGTGTCTGTGAGAGTCGCCGGTCGTGAGATGGGCGGGAGGACCGCCTCGAGCAAGGACATCAGAACGGTCCATTGAGTCTCGTTCCAAAAGTCGGTGGTCGGCAGCGCAGGAAGCTGGAGCTCGACGGCGGTGCCAGGAATGGTCTTTGGCAGAGTAGCCATGATGAAGTGGATTGGAGCGTGATGGTAAGTAAACACAGAAAGATGAGAATAGTAATCAAAGTGAACAGTTCGGTGGTACAACGCGATACAACGTAGAAATGGCTATAAGAAGGGGTAGAAGAACAGTGACAATAACAAAGTTACGCAAAGTCGGATGAGGGGCAGCTTTGGAGTTAGCTATAGTCCCAATTGACACATGAGCGATGAAAAGGCACCTCGGAAGCTCATGCTCAACTGATGTCAGGATGTGTGGGTGGGAAGGCAACGGGAAAACGAGTCGTCGTTGGCAGCCCCCTGCTGCTCGCATGGTGGTGCTGCAGGGGTTCGTGTTTGCCATGGATGCGGGGTCTGTGCGACGAAGCATCTCAATGGATCTCTCCATAACCATCTCCTCTCTCTGACTCTCTCTCTCTTTCGCTGTGGCTGTCTCCTCAGGCGGATGGGACCCTATTCCCGATCCGGTATGCTATTGGGGTGGTCGAACATTCAGTCAACCGCCAGCTTTGCGGCTAAAGATTGGCCGTCATGTTTAGTTCTGAACCGTCTCTTTGTTTGTGGTTGCAGAATCCCTCAAAGAGGAGTCTCGGACCTATGATTCCCCCCACCGGACCTGGCCAGCAGAGCTGTCAACACCTCTAGATGGGCAGCTTAGGTACTCTCTGCATTGGCGGGGTATGGCGCTACTGAGCGGCACTTGGGCGCATGTAACCCTCTCAACCCGGGGGCGAGTGGCGTAGTGCGGGAACGGGGAATCAAGAGAAGCTGCTTGATGCGGGGAACGGGGACTTTGGCTCGATCGTAACGGGCCCTCGTCGGAGCCCGATAGTTTCTTCATCAGTCATCATCAAACCAAAGGTCCTTTCGACGCCATATTCACGGCATCCCACTGCATGAAGCAGCACTATAATGGGAGCAAAGAGACGCACCACGCGATGTCAATTGTCGAAGGAAGAGAGACGCGGTTGCTGCACGTGTTGCCTCATGTTCAGACTTCCCAAGCGTCTGCGTCTTGAAACGACACAGCCGCGAGCTTATGTTTGTCGATATTTCAGCCACCATGGCCCCAGATGATGGTCAGATCGTCGGACCCGCCCGTTCACCTTGAAAGTGCACAGCAATATCAACAGGAATGATGCTGGGTTGACTGCTGCAGATCGTACGTTACCGTGGCTTGGGGTGAGATTCTTAGATTGTGGGGCAGATCGATGATGCGTCTCAGCGATTCGGCCGGGAAGCATTGAGCCTCGGCTCGCATGGACTGATTGAAACGGGCAAGAAAACACATATGTTTCTCAGCTGGCCTTGTTGTGAAGTTGTTTATTGGGATGCGATCGAAATCGGATGATTCGTTGGCATGGCCACGAGCTTCAGTCGGAGAATCACAACTAGCAGTGCCAGAATCGGATGTCTGCAGAAGCTGTATGCCTGGTGGGCGCCAGACTGGTCGTCACGGGCCCGGTATTTGGTGGCCCGCCGCCTCTTCCGTCTCAAGCACAACCGCTCCAATCCACGGCTGGCAACTTGTAGACACCCGGCACCGTGTGCTGCGCCGACGCATAAGCCAAGGAAGCAGTGCCCGGTCCGGCGCTAGAGAGAAACGGCGCAGCCCAGCCCCAGGGCACCCGGGTCCGACTGCCGGTGGCGCATCGGGTCTACCGCGTGGCACCGCCGACTTCTCGGGGGGTCTGCGTGCCCGGGCGAGCGGACTTGTAAGCGGCGAATCGACCTGACACTGACAGCAGGCGGACGTGGCCCGGTGGGTACGGTGGCCAAAATGCAAGATTGGCTCCCCCTCAGACCTGCAGCTACAGGTCGCGGCTAAACCAGACGTGGGCACTTTTCAGGGTCCAGCGGCGGGTCTTTCCATCCGTGCAAGGGGGGCTGGGTGTCATCTGGCGATGGGCGGTCTGGCGGCCAAGAGGGTTCAAAGGGGAAGCTGGGGCCGGGGTTTGCCTTTGAAGCCGAATTTGTTGGGGAAAGGAGACGGGAACGACTTGAAAAATGCATGTGAGAGTCGATCTGTGAAGAATTGTTGACTGACGGCGAACAAGGCGCGTAAGCCAGCAAGCTCTTCCTGGTCGGCTGATTTCCGTGTTGTAACTGTGGTAGGCCACCGTGAGTACGAATATGTATTACTGGAGACAGCTTTGCTGTAAACGACTGTACTGTAAAGAGGCACGAGAGGTGCGCAAAAGACTGTCGTGTGAGTGTTACCACCGGCGCATTATGTTATATCTGTGCAGGTTGAGACTCCAAGCTGAGGCTTCAAGATGTACTTCGGATTCGTACCAGCAAGCCTTGTTGTCATCAAGCAATACACTCTTGTCCATTCCGGCCGAGTAGGCTGTCTGCTCCGAGCTCGTGTGACAATCTCATCATCGACAAATGACGGAATCATGGTCGCGTTCCGCTTTGAGAAGCACGGGGGACCGTGAAGATCAAGGCCCTTGTCGCTCACATGTCAAATGATGGTCATCCAGCGACTTCGTGATGATTAGATAACGGGAGAAAGAGGGTCCTTACCAGCAAGACCGTCCGTAGTAGTGGAAATCATCAAAGAAAGGGAAGAAAAAAAAACTTCGATACGATGAAGAGAAGATTGACAGAATTGGGCTTAGCGTTCCCCCAACAAAAAGGACGAAGGTCGGGTAGCCATGCTCCACGGCGGATGGACACTTGATGATTCGTGACGTGGACTACTTCATGCGCGTTAGTGTACTATGCAAAAAGCTCACGTTGACGTTATCAGACAAAGTGTCAACGATGAAAAGTACCTGCCGCATCCCCCACTAACCACCCACAACGGACCAGGGGCAACTTGCAAGGAGGGTCAGCCTGGGCTTCCAGAAGGACGACGATGGCCACGGCCCCCTGACAACCCGGCTGCAAGCCTCCAGGATGAGAATTGCGTTGCGCAGACTTGACTACTAGACTCGCGATTATCAAGTCCAACACCCGTCGGGAGTTCGGAGCCCCCGATGGGAGTTCGTCAGAGTCGGTTGTGTTTGCGGGCCTTGCCCAACATTGATCTCTTGGTGATCTCTCGTGGAGCCATCGCATAACGTCCAACGTAGCGTGACCTGAGGGCACTGACTGAGCGCAAGACAGCGAGTGGCACTGCGAGCTCTGATAATGCCAACAGAGGTGTCGAGATTGGGCCGGCGAGAGGAAGCCGTGGCCATGTCCCGGAAATAGAGTTGGAGCTGGTGTCCAAAGCTCCCAATGCGCCATTGCCGTTGTCGGAAAGACAAATGTCTGGGACTCTGGGCTGGGCAATGGGTTCCGGCAACGTGCCCAAGCAAGATCCATGTCGCAGCTTTTCAACCGTTTCAAAGCGCCTGACGAACTGCGCGAATCGGTGGGTGAAAGGCAGCGAAGTATCGTACAGACCAGACGTACTGATACGGGGCGCCGCGGCGCAAAGGCTTTTTTGCTTCGTCCAACGTGCGATGCTTAATTGGTTGAACCCTTCTGGGCCATTTGCTCCGGGCGTGGAAACCCGTTCGCAGACGCATTTCGGCGTTGCCATATCGCCGTCTAGTCAGTCGCAAATTGGCAAGAACGATTGTCGACTCGTCGTCTTCTTCAAGGCTCAAGCTGTTGGTCCCCCCCCGCCCTTGTTCTTAGCAGCTTGTATCTTTGGCGTTGCTCGGGCCCATCCTGCAAATACCCCCATGCCTCGGGCGCCAGGATGGGCTTTAAGGACGGAACAAGGATGATGTCGAAAGAAGCCGAGGCAAAAAAGTGAGGGTTTTGGTCATTCTGGACCAAGTTGAGCTTGGATGAGAAGATGGAACCGAACCGAACCCACCCCCATCCATCCATCCATCCAGTAGTGCCAATGTGGTCGAGGCCGTTTGCCTTAACGTAAACCGGTGATGGTTTTGCGGTGCCTTTCGTCCGTTGTCGAGCTTGAAGGTGTTATTCATGTGTCTCTCAACAATGTTCAATGTTGGTGTACCCAGCAAGTATCCACAACACTAGGAGTGGAGGTACAGACGGGATACTCACGTACGAATGGATACCTACTCTGTAGGCCCCGGTTTTTTGTCTCCAGACAGCTGGTCACTGGTGAGGAAGAACGGAAAGAAGATGTGCCTCTTGAAGCTTGGCAGGACCTGCTGTGTCGAATCGAAGGCTGCGGATGTCAGTGGTGGATTCCACATTGAGTAGTACCTCCCGCGGCCACCCGACAAGCCGGGCAAGCGCGCACGAGAGACTTGCGCCTTCAGGAAGGCGGCGAGGGCCAGGTGCGCTTGCATTTTCCCGGCATTTTTGGGTTTTGCTCCGTCCGTTGTTGTCAGGTACTTCGGTGAGGTACCTAAAGTCTCCCAAGGTCAGGTACCTTACGTGATGTATTCCCACGCAGGAGGGAGGAGGAACGAAGGAAGGCACGTTGGATCTCGAGCTTCCAAGTACACCGATACCTGGATCTTTCCAAGACTTCACCTTCATTCTTCTGGACCTTAGTCCTTCTTGTATGTTGCTTGCAAGAGAAGTCGTGAGAGTAAGTGCATGGTTAAGTGTGTGAGGTACATGAGCAGTACGTGCTTCAACGTCGCATAGCATTGAGAAACTAGTGTGAGCAAGACGAGACATGACAAGGCAAGCCGCAAGACAATACACCACGACATCAGATACCTCATCTTCCACCGAACTCACCAGACTCTACCTTAGCTATGGTCTGGAGCAGAGACAACCGGCCACCGTACCGTTGCCGTTGGCCGTGCCGCACCTGACACCTCCCGTTGTGCTTTTCAACTATCCTAAAGCAGAAACTTGACGTGCGTGCGCTTTTTGTATGGTCTTGACTTGCATCACCTCGTCTCGCCTCGCATCTGATCCGTTCTCTTGCCGTTGCGCCTTGGCCTCAGCAGCATTGCTTATGACTAAAGCCCGAGCAAAAGATACAAACTTCTTTCCCGCTTTCTCCCTGACTGCTGAGTGACTCCTGATCAAGACACACTCCCCGCCAGATCCATCATTTCACCCGAAGCTACGTATCCGTCCATACAAATATATACTTGGTACTTGGTGTACCAGGGTGGAGGGGTGTTGACGAAGGGGAAGGCAAGGCACGGTATCCGTAAGGTAAGGCAAGGGGAAAAGGTGGGAGGGGAGGAGCCGCTGGTCTTAGTCCCAGCACATTATCCACTCCTCTCTCTCTGGGTGACGGGTCACACACTCTCTCATCCAGAATTTCAACCTTCCCCTTCCCCATATTAAGACCTCGAGGATCCCTTCGCATTGACCTTGTCGTCTCTGCTGTTCTTTCTTCTTTCTCTATTCTCCTCTTCTGTCCCAAGCTCACCCGGCACACTCTCGTCTCCTTCGACAAACCCTCGTCGGACTGGAACGTTGTCTTGGCCTCTGTCTCAAGCCTTCTCTTTCGCCAGATCTCTCTGTGCCACTCCCTTCAGAGAAACAGAGCTTCCTTCTGTCTCTTTCTCGTCCTCTCTTCTCTCCCACGTTCGTCCACCACCTCTTCTGGACCGGACCGCATACCAGTCGCTCGACGATCGAATCGACTACCGTCTCTTCCACCATCGACCCAATACCTGCGTGTGTGTGTGTGTGTTAGCACTACAGCTGTCAGTCTTCGTGCCGAGACATTACTGTCAAGAACGACTTTCGAACGTGCGTGCATTGTGTGTCTAGCTTGCTTTTAGCTTGTCACTCCAATTGCCGCGACTCAGCAAATTCCCCAACGCCCGAGCAATTAGCATTGGCGGGACCGCAACTTTTTCCAAAAAACCAAGCCCCGACTCAATTGGTCAATTAAGCTCCCCCACCATGGCCGGCGTCACCGTGCTCGGCGAGCTCCCGTCCGCCTCCCTCTTCACCTTCCCGCCCGATGGCGCGCATATGGCCATTCCCCCACCTTTCCCCGGGTCCATCGCCGCAGCCCCTCCGGTCCAAATTCCCGACAATATCTTCACCGCCGCTCTTGACCCCAGAGTGCCCATCACCATTGCCACTCTCTACGCCGTCACCGTCAAGCTCTTGAACAAGTACAACAACTCGACCAACCGTAAGCCTTGGGGAATCAGCAAGACCAAGCCCTTCTTCGCCTTTGTCGTCTTGCACAATGTCTTCCTCGCCGTCTACTCGGCTTGGACCTTCTGGGGCATGCTCGGCGGCATGCGTAGGAGCGTTGTGAGCCCCTTTGGCCCCAATGGTCTGGCTGCCACTGCCGACAGCTTCTGCCAGCTCAACGGCAACGGAGGCTTCGGTGCCGCCACCGTCTACAACGAGACTGTCGGTTACTGGTCCAGCTTGACCGGCAACAACGCTCTTGGCTTTGATGGACGCCCCAGCCGCGAGGCCACTGGCAGAATCTGGAACGAGGGACTCGCCTTCTACGGCTGGATCTTCTACCTGAGCAAGTTCTACGAGGTCCTTGACACCTTCATCATCCTCGCCAAGGGCAAGCTCAGCTCCACCCTCCAGACCTACCACCACGCCGGTGCCATGATGTGCATGTGGGCTGGTATGCGCTACATGTCCGCCCCTATCTGGATGTTTGTCCTAGTCAACTCCTTCATCCATGCCATGATGGTAAGTTTTGCGCCTATTTTGCTCAACTGAAGTGTTGCTAACAGTCGTCTAGTACACCTACTACACCATCACCGCTTTCAACATCCGCGTCCCCATGGCCATCAAGCGAACCCTCACCACTCTCCAGATCACCCAGTTCCTTGTCGGAGCTACCTACGCCATGGCCCACTCCTTCGTTTCGTACACCGTCCCCGTGACTGTCTACACTGCCAAGAAGGGTGCCGATGCTATCACCCAGTCTTCCACCAGCACCGCCGCCGAGACCGTTGCTACTGCCGCAACTGGCGCCTTTGAGGCTCTTAAGGACATGGTCTTCGGCGCCTCTGCTAAGGTCGCTGAGGAGGCTGCCGCTGTCTCCGTCGCCGCCGCCGCTGCTGCCCCCCCTCAGCCCGGTTTTGTTGCTGAGACCATCTTCGTCACCCAGCCCTGCGTTACCACCAGCGGCGAGACCTTTGCCATCTGGCTCAACGTCCTCTACCTGGCACCGCTCACCTACCTGTTCGTCATGTTCTTCATCCGCAGCTACATCCGCCGCAGCACCGCCGCACCCAAGGGTAAGGGCAAGGCCCGCCGTGAGAGCAATGTTACTCTTGCGGAGAAGGCTGGCTGGGACGCCGCCCGCGAGGTCAACCGCGAAATCTACAACGGCTCTGCCTCGTACAACGTCGAGGGCAGCCCCAAGCGCGCTGGTAACGGCAAGGCCAAGCACTAGCGAAAGTTGGCACGCATGGATCGGTCCTGAATTTAGGACGTAATGGGAAAAGGGGAAAGGGGGACACACGGCTGGAAGAGAAGCCTGAAAGAGGTCTTCTCGCGGAGGCGGCATTGGGTTTGATTCAACGGCGTTTTGAGCTGGGAAAACATGATTGGGGTAAAGCATTCGCATCACCCGGAGCGCTCGTTATCTAGTCGTGACCGTCTAGTGTCTTGCATTTTGCGCGTAGGGTAAATAGGGCGAGCCGGGTGTCATCCATCCGGTGCAAGTATGTATAGTCATCATCAATATGAAATTTTACATGTTAAATATTTTCGTGCAGATTGGTTTTTATTGAAGAGGTGACAGGTCGAATTTACGGCCTAGGAAATGTGTTTATCAGGATTTCCATCATTCACATCCGGGGTGTAGAAGCATAGTTGTACAACATTCCCGGAACGGGGAAAAGGGGGAAAGCCACCTCGTGTGACGACGCGGTGGCGGCGAAATCATGGGATACAGACCCGAACTCTCGGGTCCGATCAGCCGGACCATCTTCTCCGCATTTTCGTCGTCTTCCGGATGCGGTGGGGGCCAAAACCGGAGCTCACTCCGATGTGGTCGGAAGGAGGGGAGAGGAAGGGGGGTGGTGGACGTACCAAAATTAGTATGCCGTGTTCAGCCTCTCCTCTCTCTTTTTTGTTCACCCGCATATCCACCTTGTCGATCTCTTGGCTGTTTGTCTCTGGGTTTTCTGGGGCAAGTTGTCTCTGGATGTGTGAGTCAGTCGTAGTGGTCTCGAGTGAAACCGTACGACCACGTCGCGCTGCATGAGAGCTGCTTCAAATGAGTCGCCAAGTTGAAATGTTTGATGAGTTCTCTACGGTACTGATGAATGCGTGTAAATCGAAACGATTGCTGAAGATTGTCAACTAGACTAATGCCACACGTATTTCTGGTATCTGGGGCGTGTGGGCAAGGTAGCCGTCGTCGGTCTTCCAAAAACGGGTTCGGCCACGATACAAGAGAGTCGAATTCGCCACTGAACCCTGAAGCGAGTTTCTCTCAGTCTCTGAACAATAGATTGCATTATTGAATTACCGCGAAGCCTCGTTCTCTACACGCCATGTAGTTCTTGTTTGCCCTTTTTGCGCCCTGACTCCATTCCAAGCGCAGTGCATAGGTAAATGAATATGTTATTTAGTCAACCTCAAGTTATGATCCGGATTCTGGAGACAGATGAAAAAAAAGGCTTTACAATACGATGAGGCGCAAAAAGCTCGAAACGTACTCATCTTGTGTGGCAAGATGTATCGAACGCCCTGCTTGTCTACGGAGAGCTCGTTCATAGGGTACGACGTTTCGTCTTTCGACTCGCGCATAACGCCCGTCCGGAATAGGCACTGCCTTGAATGAATTGGGAAGATAAACTAGGGCAAGAAGGAACCAAGCAAGTCTATCTTGGGGAACCCATGGGATTGTGGATTCGCGGGGGTGGGGATTTCCATTAGCCCTTTGCTGATCGTTTTCGATGTCCGCTGCTTTCGTCCAACCTTGTGCGACTTTACCTCCGTCATGTATTGTGTCCCAATCAAGGTGGTGCTGATTTGGAAATAGGTAGTAGTTTTTCTTAACTCATATTCGCGTCCTGCATACATGGGAACACACCTGACTACTTGGAACGATACCCAGCTTTCACTCACTTCGTCATGTTCGCCTGCAACGAGCAGACTCGAAGACAGTAGCTCTGGAAGAAGTGAAGTGGCCACGGCATGGGAGGCTCTCAAGGTACCAGCAAACCAAAATCCCATACCTAACTCGAACAATTCCCTTGCCGCCACAAGCCAGGCCGACAACGGCCCTGCAGAGTCATCTACCTAGCAGTGCTGGAGAAAAGGGCGGCGAGATCCAGGTAGACGAACCACGACGACGCTTACGGCGATGAATCATACAAAGCACACACTCAAATCACCCTAGGTACACGTACTACACATGCATACACCCCCCTTC